ACAAATTCATAGTTTTTGATAATTGTGGATGTACAAGTCTGCTTGTCCTTCTATTGACTCAACCCATGAGGCCTTGAAGTTAATAACCGTACAAACTATCCCGTGTCTTGAAAGGTACTTAAGAGCAAACCCGACATGCTATTAGTTGAGATTTTAGAAAATTAATACCTTACTCACATACATGCATACATATACACAAGGTGTATATATATATATATATATATATGCACATGAATATGAAAAACTTTAAAACGACTTTGGTTTATTTAAAGGTACCTTAACTAATTCGATCAACTACGCAGAGATGTTTGGAAATAACTTAATGATTTAGAAATGAGCTTATTCTCTCAACCAAAAAAACCAAATCCTAATGCATTTAACCATTTAATGAGCCATTTATTCCTCTGTTGGGCTCCTCCTCTTTCATTTTCATCCCATCCTTCTTGATTTTGTGTTTGCCCCTCTCGGTCGGGATAGAGATTGACAAGGAGGGGTACAACCTTAGTCATCACAAAGCAACAATCAAAGCTAAAATTGAGTTTTTAGGACAAACAGGTCGTTCATAGTTTCATTACCACTTAGAAAATAAAGTATTTGATAAGACCAATATCACGAAGCTTGAGAAAAAAAGTAGCAGAGAGATCGGTCGGTAACAAATTGCTAGAACTTGGAGATGTAGGCAGAGAGGGGAAGTGTAGAGCGTAAGTTGTCCAACGCATAGAGTTTTGAAGAGGGATACGACAAGACAACCTCACAATCAAAACACATGCTCCTCTGATAAGAAAACCAAGAGCTTTTCTTCTAGAAGCGGGTAGAAATGGAGGAGTTCATTTGAGGTTTTGTGACGCAGGCTTATTCCATCTATGAATATAAAACAAATAAAACTTGTTTTGTCATTCTTACCTTTTTTTTTAATCATTGTTGTAAACTTGAGGTTGTACTATACATGGTGATGCTCATGTGTAAAAAAAACTAGTGAGTTTGTAGTACGCATGAACATGAAACCAAGTTGTTAAAGAAATTGAACATTGTGTTATTCTGGTTTTGGGTTGTGTCGTATTTGTTCCTCTAGTTCTAGGTTAAGTTGGTAGCATATGGTGGGTGTACATAAGATGTTTGATGAATGTCTGTTATATATGGATTTGAAAAAACAAACATTAAAAATGTAAAATAGTCATACGTTTAGCACATCAAACAAATAACCATTTATTTAAATTGACACAGACAAATTTATTTATACAATATTTAAAAAAAACTTGTCTAAGATAGAAATATTAGAAGGGGAGAGAATTTACAGCCAAAAAATGAGATTTTTTATATATTGATCGAGGATGGAAATTAGAGTTTTCATAAAAATGGCGTTTACTTTTCTATCAAAACCCCTCTTCTTCCTTGGCTTCCAGTCCCTGTGTCTAAACCTCTCATTTTACGCGTGACGAGAATTGCTTCCTCACGTGGCTTACCACCACCTGTCATCTCTCTTCTCCTCTCCTCTCCTCTCCTCTCTTTTTATACTTCTCTTTCTCTTCTCTTTATACACACACACACACACACACATACATACTTCCCTTCTCAAACATCATCATCATCATCAAATCCAATCACTTATACGGAGATGGGATCTGAGTTGACATACAGGCGTCACGAACCCCAAACCCTCTCTGATTCTTACTCCCCCAAGCCTAACAAGCCATGGCTTTCTGTCATCCGCCCCATTCGCTACATGCTCCGGGAACAACGTCTTCTTTTTGTCCTCCTCGGCATTCTCCTCGGTGCCTTCTTCATCGCCATCCTTCCATCCTCCTCCCACCGCCAGATCACATACCATGATGCCTACTCCGTCTCTCAACTTGCCCAAATCATGAACCCGCCACAACCGGTTTATCGTCCCGGCTTTGGCTCTATCAGTTCTGGTGGAAAGGTTCCTTTGGGTCTGAAACGCAAGGGCTTAAGGATAGTGGTCACCGGCGGGGCAGGTTTCGTCGGAAGTCATCTCGTTGACCGCTTGATCGCTAGAGGAGACAGCGTGATTGTTGTCGATAATTTCTTTACTGGGAATAAGGATAACGTCATGCATCATTTTGGAAACCCTAGATTTGAGCTTATTCGTCACGACGTTGTCGAGCCGTTACTACTCGAAGTGGATCAGATCTATCACCTTGCTTGTCCTGCTTCCCCTGTTCACTACAAATACAACCCCGTCAAGACAATCATATCCTTAATCGCCCCGTTTTTACTTTGTTTCTTATCGATCAACTTAAATTATGTGTTTGTAATAACCATAACTGTTTTTGTGAATCCTTAATCTCATCTGTTTCTTACAAGACGAATGTGGTGGGGACACTCAACATGTTAGGGTTGGCGAAGAGGGTTGGTGCGCGGTTCTTGCTAACGAGCACCAGTGAGGTCTACGGTGATCCCCTTCAACATCCTCAAGTCGAAACTTACTGGGGCAATGTCAATCCAATTGGTGAGTTTCTTTCTCCAACTTGGTAACTTGTTTTCTTGTTTTTTTTCCTTTGGTCTTTCCGTTACCGGAAACCCGCCGACTAATGCGCTGCAAATCTGGTAAATTTATAGTGGTATGAGATCAGCGTAATGCGTTGACGCCAGATCTGGCAGGTGATTCAACGCCTTTTATCGTGATTTGTGGGACTCTAATCCTACGGTTGTAGTTGAAGATCTAATTCTTGTGGGCTGTTTTAATTTACTAGTAAAATTGGGAAGATTGGAAGGGCAAAATTGGGATGATTGTATACAAAAATAACGCCATGAGATCTTTCTGTGTTTGCCATCTTGGGCAGGTGTCAGAAGTTGCTACGATGAGGGAAAGCGGACCGCTGAAACATTGGCCATGGATTACCATCGAGGTGCCGGGGTTGAGGTGGGTTCGGTAACGCTTAGATGAAAAATAGAAATTTGGGTCGATTTAAAGGGATGATTAAATATTATGTATGTAATGCAGGTGAGAATTGCTAGGATATTCAACACATATGGTCCTAGAATGTGCATTGATGATGGCCGTGTGGTTAGTAATTTTGTTGCTCAGGTGAGTTATCAGTCATGATCAGTTTTTAAGTTTCAAGAAAGACGCCTCTGAATGATGTCTTCGAAGCATTTTCTTGTGTTATTTCTATGGTCTTTGACCATGATTTGTCGATTCATCAACTATGCAGGCACTGAGAAAAGAGCCTTTAACTGTTTATGGTGATGGGAAGCAAACCAGAAGTTTCCAGTTTGTTTCTGATTTGGTTAGTATATGTCTTTCTCTATTTCTTTAACCAATTCTTATTTACATGTATTAGGACGTCCAATTGTTTCTTTCGCTTTCCTGTTTTGTGTGTTTGTTTGATTTTGTTTGGCTGGCCTGTATTGGGTATTTTTGGGTTATTTCTGGTATTCAACCTAATCAAGCCAATTCATTAGTTAAAGAAAGGATGCCAAGGTTTGCCCAATTGGTGTTTATATATAACTTTTATATGTTTTGTGTTTGCCTTGGCGAACAAAACAGCTGTACATGCGGGTTAATGGTTGCTTTCAATTGATTTGTCAGTCTGTTGACCATCTATGTTATTCAGCTAATAATAGCAGCAGCTCTAGATGGGCCTTAACTCTTTTTAAGTAGTAAGACAAGCTTATCTAAGTATTTGATTAGGTAACATATGGCAAATGATCTTGTTTAGGCTCTTTCCTTTTGGGTATGGTTCTTTTGGGCAAAGTAGTTAAACAGGCTATAACCCATGTAGATTGCAACATTCTTTTTTGGAAAATTTTCATTTCAAGTACTTAATATTCAATTGTATTTGCTATAATTAAATTGATAGTATTGATCTGGATCCATGTAGTTTCTTTATTTTATTTTTGTTAAGGGGTACTTTAAACTTTTGGTGAATAATCAAACACCTTTTAAATGCTACTATATTAAATCAAATGTTGCAATTTTCATAGCACAAAGTTTATTTCTTGATAAGATATTTGCAAAATAAAGATGTATAGAAAGGTGTCGGTGACCCAATGAAAAGAGAAACAGATATCACATCATAATAATCTCCAATGTAAGTTTTTGTGGTGAAAAATGATAAGATTTAAGGGTATAAAGATGGTACAGGCCATAAGGTACCATGTTGGTGAACAATTTTGGGGGCAGGGCAGGCCCTATGTCAATTAACACTATGTGGGTTATAAATATTATGGGAAGTGTTGTCTGGGGAAGAAGCCAAACCATTTCTGTTGAATGATACCTCTGACCTAACCAGTAACCACTCTTTTTGGTATTATTCACTTTGGACTCATTCACTCTGGTTTGAATTTGAAGGTGGAGGGTTTAATGCGTTTGATGGAAGGTGAACATGTAGGACCTTTCAATCTTGGAAATCCCGGTGAATTTACGATGCTTGAACTTGCTCAGGTATGTTATCCTTAAGGATGTAAAATATGAGGAGGTATACAGTAGGAGTAATATTATTTTAGCGGTGAGTTGTTGTTTTGTTACAGGTGGTCCAGGAGACAATAGACCCGAATGCAAAAATAGAGTTTAAGCCAAACACAGAGGACGACCCACACAAGAGGAAGCCTGATATCACCAAGGCAAAAGATCTGCTGGGATGGGAACCAAAGGTGGCTCTTCGCAAAGGTCTCCCTATGATGGTGTCTGACTTTAGACAGCGCATCTTCGGTGATCATAAGGACTCCTCCAGCTCGGCCTAGTAAAATATGATGAGACATATACTGTTTTATCTTTTTAAAGCTACACTTGTCTTGGTCTAAAACTAGTATAGCAGAGGTTTAAAGCCATCTCTACCTATCTATCATTGTTTAGGTTTGAGTTGGCTATATGTATTTTCATTTTATCTGGGAATTAATTTGGCATTTTACAGAGAGAGAAGTTTAATATTGATTTTGATGCAATGAGTATGGTTTGTAGACTTTAATGTAATTACATGGCGGAATGCATCTTCCACCCACAACCCTCATTATCTGGTGAGATTGTAGTACATCTCTTGTCAAGCCAAGAAACCAAACACGATATCGATGTTTTGGTCTGTCTCACCAGCTGTCAAGCCATGCCACATCCCTGGGTACAGTTTTATGGTCTTGTCGTCACTGCTTGCTTCATTATACAAAGCCTTACTTACTTGTGGATCTGTGACTGTATCCGCTTCTCCATGCAACACGAAGAAGGGGAACGTCACCTGCCAACAAACAAGCAAACACTGATTTGTTTCAGAGACCAACAAAAAGTTAAATAGATGCATCGGAGGGTGGTTGATTAACCTTACCTGACATAAGCTGTGTTGAAGGGCCATGCTAGTTCTAAGCAATTCAAGAGCTGTTTTAATCCTGGGTTTCTCTTGATATATCAACTTGTTCCCACGAATCTGCATACAACAAC